AGAGAGAGGGAGAGGGAGAGGGAGAGGGAGAAGAGAGAGGAGGGGGGGGGAAGAGGAGACAGGAAGAGAAAGGGAGGGAGGGGGGGAAGAGGTGAGGTGGAAAGAAGAGAGAGGGAGGGGAGAAGAGGGAGGGAGGGGAGGAGAAAGAGAGAAAGGGAGGGGAGGGAGAAAAGAGAGAGGGAGGGGGAGAGAGAGAGAGCAAGAGAGGAGGGAGGGGGAAAGAAGAGAGAGAGAGAGCAAGAGAGGAGGGAGGGGGAAAGAGAGAGAGGGAGGGAGGGATTCTAGAGCCCAACCTAAACTGCGTAATATCCTAGTTTCTGTGAGGCAAACGGCCTTCTCCAGCAGGTTTTTTGTCATGAGGCAAGACAGGGGCGGGAGGGCGTGCATGGCCTAGGAATCGAGAGATTATGGATACAGTGTGTGTGTGAAAGAGAATGAGGGAGTTTGAGAGTGAGGGCGAGTGAGTGTTTGTGAATGTGAGTGTGAGTGTAGTGAGTGTTTGGGAATGTGACTATGAGTAGAGTGTTTTGAATGTGAAGTGTGAGTTTTGAATGTGACTATGAGTAGTTTTTGAATGTGAGTTTGAGTGAGTGTTTATGATGTGAGTTTGAGTGTGTGTTTATGAATGTGAGTTTGAGTGTGTGTTTATGAATGTGAGTTTGAGTGTGTGTTTTGAATGTGAGTTGAGTGTGTTTTATGAATGTGAGTGAGTGAGTGCTTATGAGTGTGAGTGAGTGAGTGAGTTTGCTTATGAGTGCTTATGAGTGAGTGAGTGAGTGCTTATGAGTGAGTGAGTGAGTGAGTGCTTATATGAGTGAGTGAGTGGGCTATGAGTGTGAGTGAGTGAGTGAGTGCTTAAGAGTGTGAGTGAGTGAGTGAGTGCTTATGAGTGTGAGTGACTGAGTGAGAAACATGAACAGGAGGCTGTCACTAAGCTACGTGGAGGTATCCAGATGACCTTAGGCGTAGGCCTATCCTACGGGAGCGAAATGGTTTGATTTCTTTCTTTTGGGTACGTTCAGATCCAGATCCATGTAGTTTCTCGGCCAATGATCCGTTGGACACAGGCTCTCAATTTCTACGCATTCCTCGTCCCGAAATAAGTCACATTCTATTTTTTTTTTTTTTTTTTTACATACTCTCGACCAATCGGTAGGAATCGCGTGTCGGTGAATATCTTTTTATTGTAATGATTTATCGAGATTTTTTTTTTTCTTCCTTCCCACTCGGCAGTTTATTTGAAGCTCTCGCAAGGTAACGTTTACATCGTTGTTAACCCCCCCCGCCTCTCTCTTCTCCCCCTTCCACCATCCTCTATCCCTCCCCAGGTCCTTCCACTCCCCCTCCCTCCCTCCCCCCCATACACAGAACGGCATTTTCCTTCCCCGGCCTTCCATTGCGTCTCCTCCGGGTCTTGGCTTAGCTTCTAGTATATTCCATACCGCCGACGCGCTCTCTCTCGCACGCACGAACGAACGAACACACGCACGCATGCACAGCTCCTCCTTGACCACGCGCCACTCGAACACCAAACCCCGCGTGTAGCGAGCCGCTCCCCCTTCCCCCCTCCTCCTCTCTTGCGTTCTTTCCCTCCTCTTCTGCACTTCCTGTTTTCTCTGTTTTGGGAAGGGTGGAGGAAAGGAGGGAGGAGGCGGACGAGGACGACGACGAAGAAGGATCGGTCAATATAATGACTCAGATTTAGGGTGGAAAGGGGAGTAAAAGAGAGAGAGGGGGTGGGGTGGGGGGAACGGCCACCTGACGGGAGAATTTAATGTGGCTAATACGTGCAATGTGGCAACACCGAGGCAAGCCAGCAACACCCTCCTCCTCCTCCCTCCGTCTTCGGCAGGTGAAGATAATATGCCAACTGGATGTAACAGGCTAGATCTGGATTGTTTTTTTTTTTTTTTACCTGTTTTTTAAGATTGACTTTCGCAATGGGAGCTTTTATTGTCTATAATTGGTACATGGGCAGGTTCATTTTCCTGTTGTTGAAAGGGAAGGCGGGAGGGAGGAAAGGAAGGAGGGTGGAGGAGGAGGGGGAAGGAAAGTGTGGGAAAAAACCCAGCCGCGCATCGTGTTGTAATTTGGAGGTGTGTGTGGGAAGAAAGTTTCCCTTGGCGGCGCGGGAGAGGGAGAGAGGGAGAGTGCGCGTGTGTGAACAAAGAGGCAGGTCGGCTCCCGGGATGGGAAGAGGGGGAAACCCGAGAACCGACGTGGAAAGTGGACGAGGCGAGGAGGGAACGAGAGGCGAGGAGGGAACGAGTGAACTGCCCGCAGCCCAGGGAGTTGTGTGAGCCAAACCACCACCGTGTCGTGTGATTCCGCCATGTCGTCGCGCACCTAATACAGACCGACCGTCTTACAAAATATAAAGGGTTTTGTGAAACGCGTCACACGCACACGGGCGGAATCTCCCATGTGCGTGGCTGTGTGTGTATCGCGGACACCATACTAACCAGAACTCTGTGACTGCTTTTACACCGTCCGCGGCAG